ATGGAGACGGGCAGCACACCACATCACCTTCCCCTTCCAAACACTCTCTGAGGATGCCAGGAACAGATGGGACTCTGGCTTCCTGTTTTTACCCATAGGAAGCTCAAGACAAAAGCATGTCACTGTGTCATCCCAGAGGTGACCCAGAGAAAGATACAGAGAGGGGTCCCCTCCTCCATGCTGGAGTTTATCCCTGTGTGCAGTGTCTGGATGCTGGTCTCCTCTTAGCCCAGGTGAGCCTGAGGCAGTGACCAAGACTCCTCGGTGTCCTTCTCAGGATCCTGAGTCTTTTTTTTTTTTTAATGTTTATTTATTTTTGAGAGACAGAGAGAAAGAGCATGGGTAGGGGAGAAGCAGAGAGAGGGGGGGACACAGAATCTGAAGCAGACTCCAGGCTCCGAGCTGTCAGCACAGAGTCCAACGTAGGGCTCAAACTCATGAACGATGAGATCATGACCTGAGCTAAAGTTGGACGCTCAGTGACTAAGCCACCCAGGCGCCCCCAGGATCCTGAGTCTTGAAAGGAGGAGCAGCAGCAGCCAGGGAAGAGAAGGTAAGGGCCTCCGGGGCAGAGGAAGGTTCAGGGGAGACGAGCAGACATGCTAAGGATGGGGGGTGGGGTGGGGGACCTGGGAAGAACTGCGGTTTCCTGGCCATGATCTAGCAACACAACCAGAGTTGTGTGGGCAGAATGCAGTCAGAGAAACTGAAGTTGGGGAGAGCAGGGCTGAAGTGAAGCAGAGGAGCATGCCCCCCCACCCCGCAGCAAGTAGGATGGGAGGGGTCTGCACAGTCAAGGGGAGGGGAGGGGGAAGGGCAGGAAAGGAACGAACCCCTTGGTGTTGCCTGCCCATCAGACCACGTGAAAAGCTTGGGAGCCAACCCAATCTGTCCCCTAAGTGGCTGGAGCTGACTGATGCCGGCAGGTCTCCTGGGTCACAGATGCCACTAATGTGGCCTTCACCCAGCCTGCCTGTTTACTGACCCCACCCCTAGCTGAGGAGCTGAGGAGTAACAGGGATCCGCAGTGCCCAGGGTGAGATCCAAGAGCTGCGTCACCACTGCCATGGCCCACCCCACCCAGATTTATAGGAGCCAGTCATGGGGAGCGGCCCCTCCCATCTCACAGAGGACCAGACAGGAAGGGGCACTTCCTGTCAGCAGTGGCCAGGCCCTCCAAGTCCAGGGACCCCCACCGGAGGGGTAGGCAGAGGTGGGCTCAAAAGGACAGGCCACAGTCATCCCTGCTCTTAGTGCGGCCCATGATCCTCAAACCAAATGAATGAGCCTATGAATCCCTAACCCTTGGGAAGCTGGGGGGGGGGGGTGTGTGGCTCCTCCTCCATCAGGCACCTTCAGTCACTCACTTATGGAGGCCTCCTCAGAGTGGGCATCTCAGACATCTTGAGGACACTGAGCGGGATTCAGTCCCTGCATCTTGGACCCAGTGGGACTGGGGGAGAGACAAGCCCCCTGACACAGCCGGGGCATAAACAGAGGGCTGCCCACTCTGCCGTCTTCCTAGGGTACCTCTCAGGATAACAGACGCATCGAGAGAGTGTTCTAGAGGGCTTAGAGCTAGTGGGGGAAACCCATCCAGCAGAACTTTCCAGCCTTTCCTAACACATACCACATAATTCAGAGACGCAGCACGGTCTGGTACTGAAGCGTTCAGGCTCAGTCGCCATACCTGAGTTCGAATCTTGCTTTTACCACCTTCTAATGGTGTGGCGGTGAGCTGACTGCCAGTGGTGGGGACGCCCCCCCAGGGCTGTGAGATACAAGAGCTGTTGCCTGTAAAGCACAGGGCACGGCGCCCGGCCCATGAATAATGGTAGCCATCGCTGTTATCACCTCGTCCCTCCGCAGGGTGCCAACAGGGCTTATTAGTGTCCAAACGAATACTCTTCTGAGAATTTCATGGTACTTCTGAAATCATCTCATCGGCCCAAATCACTGTACCATGCAAGCATCAGAAAGGCAAGATTTCTCTACTGTGAACAGATGGGGACAAGACCCGGGCTTCCTCCTCCCCTGCCTGCCCCCTTACCTTGTCCAGGTGAGCACGAGGGGAGGGCCAGCCCCCCAGCACCAACCACGGCTCAGCCAGGCACCGCCCCGGCCCTGGCAGCCCACAGGAGGCCAGCGGGTTAGAGCAAGGAAGAGTGGGTTTTGGGGGCTGGAGGGAAATAAGGAGGCTCTGAACTCCATGACTCACCAGGAGCTGGGCCAGAAGTGCAGGCTATTTGTCTGGCCGACTGGCTGTAGCAGCAATACCTGCTTGCCTTTCAGAAGGACCGTCTCCCTCCCTGTTCTCTAGACAGCAGTCTGTCCTCACAGGAAGACCTCCCAAGGTCTCTTCACTCTTCAACCTGGGTACCTGATCCCCGGGGCCCCCAGCAACCCCCTTTCCAATTTGCACCCGTTCATCTGTTCAGAAACCCAAGGGGTTCCCTGGGGTTCTCCATCCCTGACCGGCAAGTAGTGTCCCCCATTTTGGCCTCCCAGCCACCTGGCCAGCTTCCCCTTTCACTAAAGTCTCTTCTCCACCCAACTTGGGAACTCTACACCCCAGCCTAGCAAGCTTCCACAACATTCCCAGATACCTAGCCCTTCCGGGCCTCTCTCGTGGTTCTCCTTCCTGCTGCTGCAAAGCCTGGTCCCACAGAGAGCCTTGGGGCCCTTTGCCCCACTCATTTTTTCTCCCACCTCTGACAAAACTTGCTCTGAGAATGTCTTACACTCTTCTGTCCCTTCCACCCACCCCCTACGTATCTACTTCAGCCTTGAGCAGTGAATGCTACAAAAAACCACACCAACCCTGCAATTAACAAAGAGGTCTTCCAGCCACACTGTGTGGGGCGCTCGATGGAGCTGGAAAGGAGATGGGTTCTGCCATCACATACCAACAAGGCACTGCCTCGCTGCCCCCAAGGGGCACTGTGGTGCCCCATACTCTCACCTCAGAGGGCTCCCCTGCTGGTGGTCAGAAAGCCACTTGCAGATACCCCCCCCCAAAATTCCTCCCCAGCACACTGGCCTGCCTAGCCCAATCCATCTCCCCCAAGCATTTCCTGGACTATTAGGATCATGATGCCAGTAAACTGTTCCCAGAACCACCAAATTCATCAGGTACAGGGTCATGAGGAAGAAGCATCCCAGGCAGAGGGAACAACGATGTGCAGGGACAGCAACTTCTCCCTCCTGTCACTTTACTGCCACTGTGGGAACCCGTCCCCCCACTGCCACCTCCCTGCCCACATCTAAGCTTCTTGCGGGGGGTGTTTAATGCAATGCCACTGGGAAGGGGCCCCTCTGAGCCTGTGGGGGCTACAAGTCCTGAGACACAGCCTGAGGGAGGGCAAGGGGGGGGGGGGACGAGAAGGCAGAGGGGACACTGTAGGCGCCCTCCCTGATGGGGCCTCTCCCCAGGCATTTCCAGCTCCCTCTGTCAAAAGCTCCAGGGAAGGGGTGGGGTGGGGGGGAGGAAGGCCGAGTCAGCATCTAGGCCACGACTCTCCCAGGGCCTGACTTTAAAATGTGCTCCTGGGCTGTTGGAATGACCAGCCTCCTCCACCCCTCCCAGCCTGCCTCTTTGGAGATCCTTCACGGAGGAGCAAGACACAGGCAGGAGGGCAGGGAGGCAGGGGGCAGCGGCGGGTAGGGAGACGCTGCCTGGTTTGTGCCTAACCTTCAACTCCAGGTGGGTGTGGAATTCCGCGGAGCAAGGGGGTGTCTATTTGGTGTGAACGTGGGTCACTCCAAACCCCATCACTCCCATGCACACAATCAGGAAGGCACAGTGGAGCAAATTATGTGTCTTGGTCCCCTACGACACGTCATGCGGACCAGGCCAAGCAAGCAAGCATCGGCCACGGCTAGAGAACCCAGACCCTCCAGGGGGCTGTGTGGGTTCTGCAGAAAACTGCAAACACTGCACTACTGTCCCCTTCCACTCACCCCCAGCCGCAAATTAAACATAAAGCAAGATGAAGCCGGGCCCAGCACTGGGGCTGTAGTAACTACACTCCGGGAGGCTCCGGCTTTGACTCCCACCCCGCCCCCCCCACCTCCGGAAGTAGATCTTTCCCTTTAGTTCTCAGATTCTTGGTGAGGGGTCTGTCTGTCCCCACATGTCACTGTCACCCTTTGAAAGAGCAGCGGCAAGAAAAGGCACAAATTCAGTTTTTTGTTTTTTTGGTTGGATTTTTGCATCTTTAGCAGCTCTTTTGGCACCCAAGGTCTGTCTACTCTGGAGGGGTGCCAGTTTGGTCACAGCCACCCACACAACACCACACACACACACACACACACACACACACACACACAGGGCCCAGCTTGTAGCTGCATCCTGGGGGCACAAAACTGCCCCACGGCGCTTCCTTCAAGCAGTGAGGTTGCCACATGCCGCAAGCTGTCCTTGAAAACCAAGTGTGGAAAAGAAAATATAAACGCCCCCGAGATGCCAGGAAAGGCAAACGAGTCCTTACAAATAATTCCTTACAAATAATTCGAAAACAACAATAACGCATAGGTCCTGGGGCAAAGCTAAGGGACTGGCCTGGAGGGAGCCTCTAGGTTCCCCGGACGCGCCCCGCAGGTCTGCGGGCCCAGGGCAGGGCCGGCGCCGGGTGGTCCCGGAGGGCGGGTGCGGGGGTCCTCCCGGAGCCCGCCCTCTTCCTCCGAGGCAGCTCGAGACCCCCAGGCTCCCCTCCCCCGCCGCCTGCCACATCTGGTTCCACTCAGGTCCTCCCCCACCTCCCGGCGTGCTCCTCCTCCCGTCTCCTCCCCACCCCGCTTTCAGAAAAGCGGAGACGATTTTTTAAAACCCAGTCACACACACACGCACGCACACGCACGCACACGCACACACGAACACGCACACGCGTTTCTGGAAAAAAAAAAAAAAGGAGGGAAAAGTGGAGAGCGGCCCGCTCCCCGTTACTACCCCCCTTCCCCCGGCCCAGCCCCCGAAGTTGGCCAAGTTGGCAGCGCCTTACCCGGGAGGGCGGCGGCGGCGGCGGCGGTGTCCCCGGGGGCGCCGAGGTGCAGACCCCCGAGGAGCAGGATGCAGCGCAGCAGGTGACGAGACGAGGGCTCGGGGACCGGCCGGCTGGGCCTCATGCCCGCGGCGCTGGGGACGCGGGGATGCGGGGACCGAGGGCGCACGGGCGCGGCGCGCGGTGGAAGCGCGGGCGCTGGGGCTGTGATGACCGCCCGCGAGGGGCTCGCGTCTTCCTCGGGTCGGGACGAAGTGATGCCTCTCGGGGAGAAGAGGGGAGGAGGAAAGGAGGCTGGCCTGGAGGAGGGGGGGCGGGGAGGGAGGGCGGAGGGAGGAGCGCAGAACCCGGAGGAGGGTTTGAGGGGCAGAGGGGAAGGGAAGCGGGCAGCGTGGGAGGGGTAGGGGAGGAGGCGCGGGCGGGCGCGGGGCCGGGGCCGCAGAGAGAGCGCCAAGGGGGAAAGAAAGGGGAGGCGGAGAGGAGGATCTGGGGGGTCGAGGAGGACCCCGGCGTGCGCTCTTCCTCTCGCTCTCCGTTGCCCTCCCTCTCCCCGCCTCGCCTTCCCTCTCGTCTCAGTCCGGGCTTGGAGCCCCAGACGCTGCGTCACAGCCCCCGGCTGGCGCGGGCGGGGAAGCGACTGCAAAAGTTTCCGCAAACTTCACGGCGTGGCGGGACCTAGGCGGTGAGGCCCGGTGGAGCGGGGGCGCGCGGCTGACCCAGGCGGCCAGAGTCGGGCCGCGGGCGCCCCCTCTATTGCGCCTTTCTGCGGACGTCTGCTCTGGCGAGCATCAGCTACCTCTACGCCTAGGAGGACCCCTCCTCGGGTCTGGGGGGAAAGGGGCGGAGCCCAGGGCTCGGCCACCGGGGCGAAGATTGGGGGAGGGGGAGGCAGGGCCCGGCCATGTGCGGAGCGCAAACACTTGCACGTCTTGTTTTAGCATTTGCGCGACCCCTGGGTCAGCGTCCTTGGCGCAGAGCAGTGCAATGCTTTTTGCTAGTTGGGGTTGTATCCAGAAACCTAGAGAAAAATCTATCCACTGAAGACAGACGTCCTCACTCTTACCAGCAACCATACTGCTGGCGGGTCGCAAAGGACCGAACGGAAATTTCATAAAAGGGAAGACAATCCACAGTTATTCCGTATTATGCAACAGGTCACCGCAGCGCAGAGCACTGGATTGGGAGTCAGGATGTTGGAGTCTAGCCCCAGCTCTACCTCTGATTCTTTGAGCAACCCTAGAAAGTGGCTTGGGATCTCTGGGCTCAGAGGAGGACTGAGGCACTTAGAGACCCTAAATGCAAAGGAGATTCACGTTTTCCCATCAAGGGTCATCAAATAAAAACACTATGAAACTGTAATATAAATTTTACTGTTTCCTGTGCTGTCCACCTCCGTGCTATTTTTGGAAATAGGGAACTCAAACTTTTCTCCTTTTTAACTACCCTGAGTAAATCTTCTCCCCATCTCTGCAGTAAGGGTCTGGGGCCAGAGATGCTCATTTAACTCTCTCTCTGCTGGGCTGAGATTCTTGGCAAATGTCAGCCCAGAGGCTGCAGGGCCCCAAAGTGAGCACCCATGTGAAATCTCGTCCCCTGGAAAAGGTTCTCACGATCCACACTCTGGCCCTAAAAAAATGGTTAGCAGCCAGGCCAAGGGAGCCCCCTGGCCCTGCACAGCTGGCTTGGGGCAGTCTGACAGAACCAAGTGCCTTCTGGGGACTTCACTGCCCTCTGGGACACATCTTGGTGTGGCATGTCCCAGCGCCCTACAGGTGACTGGCCATGCTGTGGCTGCCTCAAAGAGCATCCCCTTGGCCTCCCCTTTTCACAGTCCTGTTTATCTACAAGGCGGCTGAGGATTGGCCAGCTTTAACTAAGCTTCTCTTTTTCCGTCTTGAGGCCAGATCACAGGATGCTTTTTCTCGAAGTCATAGGCTTCCCTATGTCCACTTAGCTTCGGATGTGCTGGCCACAGTCCTCACCAAGGGGTCCCCTTTCCTCTCCAGGGGAACTCAGGCAGGGTACCTGCCCTCCAGGTTCTGGAACACAGCTGGGTCTGCATTCCCCACCGTTCTTCCCACCAGCAGGGCAGAAGCCAACTACCTGACCTTACCAGTCAATCACGTGGGTCCAGAAGGTCCAGTACTTGCCTGCACAGGACACAGAGTCCCCAACACACAGGAGATACTCTCATTTCTTCATTCACCCACTCAACAACCACTGATTACTGGCCCTGTGCTAGCTGCTGGGGGAACAAAGGTGAGCAAACACTCGTAGCCCTAGAAGAGTTTTTAGTGGGGCAGACAGACCCAATTTTTGCATCCTCCAGGCAGAGAAGACGGCCGCTCGGAGGCTGAGGAGCACAAGTGCATTGCACTCGCAGGGACAGATGTCTGGCCAAGTCTCTGAGGCCCTATTCTAGCCTCTGCCGAGCGTGAGACTTCCTGCTCCAGGGTTTCAGGGTTACACACTGTATTCTGCTGACTGTCTGGGCCCACATCTGTGGCCACCATCTGTCTGAGATCTTGAGCTCGGAGGGCAGAGAGCTGAGCCATGCCTGGGCAATTCTCTCTGGAAAATCCAGTCGGTCCCCCACTGCTTCAAGATCCTGTGCACCATCAGCTGTCAGTGGAACATGGTCACAGTCTGCAGGAGTGGTGGCTGTCCTGAGAGGCCTAAGGCTTTCAGAGGGACCCTTTACAAGCACCCAGACCCTCCTCTACTTCCAAAGAAGGGCCAGTGTCCTCTGTGCCTACAGCCCTCTCACCATTCCTGTTAAAGCTCAGCTGAACAGCCATTTATTACTATGTGTCAGGCACGAAGGTAGGTGCTGGGGACTTAGTGAAGTCTGTGACCTGGCCTAGGAGATTTTTGGTGGGATGGTATCTACTATGGCAGAATCGATACTGAGAAATGGCTCTCCTTCAGACACAGCTAGCCGGCAGCAGCCACTATGGGTTTGTGGATTTCATCAAAACCAGTTTAGTGAGTGCAAAGAGCACAGACTCTGGAGTCAGAAAGACCCCAGTTCGAATCCTGACTCTCCCCCTTACCAGCCTTGCGGCATCCAGTGAGTTACTCAAGCTCTGAGTTCACGATTCCTATTTGTAAAAGCGGCAACAATTCCTACCTTGTTCTGAGAATTAAATGTGACATATATAGGGATGGCACAGCCCCTGGATAAAGATGTTCAGGGACTGTTCGTCCCCTCCCTGCTTCCCACCTTCCTTTGCCATCGGGGGACCTCTCATCCTGCCTGCCTGCCTCTCCACTCGTCCACAACCCCACTGTCCATGAGAGTCGCACAGGTCAGTTTTGTCAGGATTGCAATACTGGGGGCTTTCCTTTGGCGGAGAGAACAATACAAGCTCCTTTCCCTGTCTGAACATCTGTTAGGTGTACACAGAACTGGTACTCTGCAGCGTAACCAAGCCAGGCAGGAGCATCTCATGCTCACTTCGGCTGGCTAACGAACGCACGCCCCTAAATCGCCAAGCATGGATGGGAGGAGTCCAGGCCTGGGGGCTACAGCTGAGTTGGAATTCCAGCTGTGTCCTTCGTCACCACATTTCCCTGAGCAAAGTCACTTCCCTTCTGAGTCCTGGAGCCCTTGGAGGTGCAAGTTTTGCTGTCATTACTCACTGTGCTTAGGGCTCCTCCTGCATTAGTCTTCTCTTCCCTGGTTCTGGGGCTCAGCGGCCTCTCCAGCCAGAGGGTGCCCGGGGCGTGCAAAGCCTCTGGACACCCCCAGCAGACCAGACCTATAACAAAGCTTACAAAAGAAGAACACAGGGAGAATGCAATTGGATGGCCAGGGAGGATGTAAAGAAAGGTGCGGTCAGTCCTTACCTGGAGAAGAGAATGTGAACCCAAAGAGGGCATCTCTGATTTTCCTCAGCCCGAAACTTTCCAAAACCAGGGGAGAAATCTGGCCAAGCAGGGGGCTGGCCTATGCCATTCCCACCTTCTCTGTCCTCTCCCTGCAGCTCAAACTCTTGGGTCTCCACTCAGGCAAATGACCCTTGAAGTCCACATGGCTGCCTCCTCATCCACAGCACTGAGGATCTCAGAAGGGACGGGGCTAAAGAGGGAAGGGAGGTGGCAGATTGGGATTCAGACAGACTCAAGTTTCAATTTGGCTCCACCTCTTCTAGGTTGTATGATTGCAGGACAGTTAACCTAAAGGACAGATTTCTCCTGTAGCAACATTACTGAGGAGTTTTGCCACTCTCTCTTGCCTGGTCTACCCTATTATGGCCGCAAATAAAACCTGAGAAAAACCCTGCCCACTTTCTCTATGTAGTTCTCTCCCTTCTCCCTTCTGTTGGAGAACACCCCCCTCCCACTCCCTGGAGGGCCACTGAGTTTGTATCTACTGGCTTTCAGCCCAAGGCCTGTAGATGACTGTTCCTTTAAAGGGACTCCAAACCCCTAGTCTTTTCCTTCTCGAGGGGTAGGAGGCAATCACTTCATGACCCCTCAAAGGAGGCAGGCCGTGCAGACTCCCTCCCCAGGAGATGGACTCCCAGTTGAAGCAGTCCCCACGGCAGGCCCACAGAAGTCAGGAAGTCAGGGCCTTGGAGTAAGTTCAGAGCAGGTGGGCCGAGCCGAGCCCAGGTTGTGGGCCGCAGTAGGGACCACAAATCCATCGTCTCCAGGATCCTCGCTGGCTCCTGTCTCCACTTGTCAGGATCAAGCTGGCCAGTGGGGGTTCAGAGAGGAGCAGAGGTTGGCTTGAGGCGCCAAAGGAGGTGGGGACGGCAGAGCTGAGCGGAAGAACCAGCTGCAGTTGGATGGAGTGTAGTTTCCAGAACCCTCTACTGCCCTATCCAGCTGGTGCCAGGGCTTAGGGGAAGGACGCCACATCCTGTCTGCTCTCAGGGGCCGCTCCCAGCCTGGAGCTGCAGTCCCTCTGAGCCTGTCCGTGCCCCGAGGGCGGGGCTGAGGCAGGAGCCGAGGCCCAGCTGGTCCACAGCATTGGCTGGGCTGGCTGCTTCTGCACCTGCCTCTTCAGGAGGTCATCTGATGCGGTCCCCTGGTCCCTGCCTCCCTCTCCTCAACTCAGGGAGGACAAGTAGGAGGTTTTTTCTAGTCTCAGTACTTGACCTTCCAAAGCAAGGCTGGGCCCGGTCTTGGCCAACAGCTTCCTGTGACTCTTGCGGATTCTGGCCTGGAGGCAAAACAGGGTGGGAGGTGGCTTTGCAGACACAGAACCTCCCCTGACCCATCCTAAACCCCTGCTGGAACAGAGCCCCTGGCGAGAACAGGAGCCAGGCGGCTGCATCCAGCTGGCCTGCCATCCCACCCGGCTCCTAGAGGATAGCCAGACCTTCCAGAGTCCTGAGTGACACAGCAGTAAGTGGACGGGGCCCCAGCGGGTGGTAACCAGCATTTTAAAAATGAAGTGAAACAGTAAGTATCAGAGTATACTGCATGTTGAGCAATTTTTGTTCTGTGAAATATGTACTGGGTTGAGATGCTAAGTGCTCCTTACTGTGCTTTGCCATCAAGTTTTTAAAAATATTTGGGGTACCTGGCTGGCTCAGTCAGTAGAACATGCAACTCTTGATCTCATGCTCATGGGTTTGAGCCCCATGTTAGGCACGGAGATTTTTTTTTTTTAAACATTGCTGTTGAGGACCTGAGACCAGCTACTTCAGCTCCCTGGCTGGCCCAGCCCAGCTCCGATCTGCTCACTCCACTCCGTGACCTGCCCAACTTCCTCCTCCGTCTCACATCTGAGGTCTTTCTCACCACCACCTGTGCAGACTTGAGTCCATAACGACTTAATCCTTCTGAGCAGGCCCTAGGCTTACGAAGGGCCCAGTTCTCCTGGTGCCAAACAAACACACACAGCAAGGCAAGTTAAGGGAAAGGTGTATAAGGCGATATGAGAGTCCAGGCCTCATATGATGAGGAGTCATGCGGGCAGGCCTCAGGTGATGCAGAGCCGAATTTTCAGAGTTGGTCAGGCAGCCAAGGCAGGTGAGCAGCATTTGCAAAGGCCTGGAGGTGTGAGGAAGTATGGGGCAGGGTGTTGGAGGGCCAAACATGCTGTACGGGAAGAGCACAAAAAGTGTGAAGGACCCTTCGCAGCAAACACCCACCCCTTCTCACTCTCTTTAATTTCGGCCAGCTTTCAAAGCCCATCTCCGCTTCATGTCCCCACTCCTCAGGGACCCCATCTTGTGCTTAAAGAATTTACCGGCTCCCAGCTTTATTACATTTAACTTTTAAATTATAACCTTCCTTAAAGCAGGAGCTGGGTCTGATGTACCTTTTTTACCTCCCACAGAGCTTAACCCAGTATATTATAAACTGTTTAGAGTAGATGCTGGAAGCTTATACAACTGGCAACTGGAGCTCGGAGTGTGGCACTGGGCCTACACATGCAGCAAGCCTCGAGTTGTAACCTGAGTGCAGTCCTCACTCGGGGCGCTCCCGCTGTTGTGGATACAGTTGTGTCTAGCTAACGCGGGACGAGGAGCAGGGTTAGTGTTAACATTGGGAACAGTGTTCTGAAAAGGGTCTGCAGGTATAAAGACTCCTGAAATGAATCTGTAGGAAAGGCCTTCCTTTTGATGCTTCCCAGAGGCATGCCCTTCTTTCAGGGCATGGAGCCAGGCTGAAGAGCTCAGGTCTGGCTCTAGAACAGGTTCCTTCTAGAACAGGGCCAAGGCCCTCACTGGGGGACCTTCTACATCCTGCAAACCTCTCTCTAGGGGCCCCTGTAACATAGAGCCAGCATCTAGCAACACCCTTTGACTTCTTCAGTTGCCAAAAACAACTTCACATCTCCCATCCACTCCAAGCCTTACAGCAACTTGGGGGTGCCAAGGCAGAGGGGCCATTCCTGCCTGTCCATTAGGACACCAAGGAGCAGGAAGACAGCAGTTGGCCAGGGCTGGAGTGGGGCAGGATTTTCCATTTCCTCATCTATAGAGATGGCATGATCAGAATACGCAGGGAACCTGAAGAACAAATGTTCTGTGAAGCCGTGCCCTCAGCTGCCCTACCTAAATTTGGTTCTGACTTAGGACCACAGAGGCAGAGCTGATGCTCAGGCCAGATGGGCCTCCAGCTCGACTTCTCAGGCCGGCAGTGCAGGAGTCTGGGAGCATGGAACCCTAGGTTAGGGCAAGATAGCTTCCAGCTGGGAACAGCCTCCACCCATAGCGGTCTCCCCAAGAAAGGCACTCAGAGACTCCACCCCACAAAATTTTCAGGTTTATAGTCCCTCCCCATTCAATTTTGCTAGACCTACTACCATTTACCAAATCTCTCTGGGACTCAGTTTCCTCATCTGCAAAATAAGGGAGATGCTTACTCCTACCTTGTTTACACCTAGGCTGTGAGGCGACACAGTGGAAGCTTCCCTACACGGTCCCAGTGCACTGCGCCCCACAGCTGCAGGTGCCCAGAGGCTACTGAGGGCAAAGGTGACCCTTGGTCCCCAGCCAGGCTCTTCCCTCCAGACTGGGAGGTGAAACCCATGGCCTGAGGTGGGTGGAGCCGAATCTGTCAGCCAGCTGCTCTCTGACCCCTTGGTACCCACAGTGGGGATGTCCGGTCCAGTGCCCCCCCCACCCCACCCTTTTGCTGACTCCAGCCTGTCTCGGGCCCCTGCTGAGCAACCCCAGCACAATAGGGCTCTTGTATTTCCTCCCACTACATCCCTCTGGCAGGTTCCCCCAACCCACCTGAAGAGCTCCGCAGCAGCCAGAGTCCCTAACCACTCCCTCCTTAACCCTCTTCTCCCTGCAACCTCTCTGCTCTCTCCACCGCCACTCCTTCCAAAGAGCTGCAATCCCAGGCTCTTCTCACCCATGATCCAGAGTACCAGGCTGGATTCCTAAGCCTGACCCAGGCCGCAGCCCTTTCCTGCAGCCCTGGACCCCACAGGTAAAAGAAAAAGTGCTAAATTAATTCATGATAAGGTACTGGTGAGTTGTTACATTTTTAAGAGAAGGCCAAGGGTGAGAAGCTTTGCACAAAGGAGTGAATGATTCCAGAAAGTACTGTTAGGTACCAAGGCACCAGCATAAGGGAGGTGCTGTCTGGCCACAACTGGGGCTCCCGAAAAAGGAGCGTATGTGTGTGTCACACTGGTCCTAGAACAGCCCAGAGCAAGAGACAGATTTTATCCCTAACACAGACAATAAAAGTCATCTCTGTCTTCTAGGTGGGTGAGTTTTGGACAGAGCCACCCTCTCCAATGGCCCCATCCTTATTGCTGCAACGGACAGGAAGGTCAGCAGGACTTGTGACCCTCAGTGCTCTAGCCATCTGGGAGGCAGACTGGGGGTGGGGAGGTGCTGAGAATGGGAATTTCTAACAGGTTGCAGGTGATGCTGATGCTGCTGGCCTGGGGACCCACCGGCCTATTAGCTGTTCCTCCCATATTCCGCTAGAAGCCGTCTTGGACCCGGGGTAAGAGAAGACTGCCGACTGAACCTACAGAGGTTTAAAAGGAAATCTCAAGCCAAAGGTCTGCATCACTTACCCAAGGCAGGAGGACCTCCTGACCACCTTGGAAGTCTCTCTACCAGCAAACTTGGGGGTCTCAGGCCCAGCAATCTTACTTACTGGATCCTGTGATCTTTCCGTAAACCACACTTTTTGACTCCCCTCTTGCATGCCAGGAGCTTTATATACCCTATTCTATTCTTCACAACCATGCAAGGAGCTCTCCCTGAAGCTTGCAGAAGTCGGATCTGAACCAGACCTATTTCTAAAGCCCACGATCTTAACCTAGGTGATTTTGCCTTAAGAAATTAAAACAGAACAGGTAATTTTAGGGAGCAGAGATTTTTCCATACCTCAACTAGCGTTGTGATCACGTCTCTCCCCCATTTACCCCGGGGCTGATTTTAATTACAGACTGAGCCAGCTTGGGCAAGTAGAATGATGAGTAAGTGCGAGGGGGGAGGGATAGAGATTCCCAGAAAGCAAAACTCCCCAAGGTGGGCCAAGCTAGTTGTAAACTTAGCCTTCTTAGAAGCGAGGAGCTGGACCTGAAGATTCTTCTAGCTCTAGCATTCTAGAAGGTGACTGTGTTTAGAGAGAATTATTTTCTAAATTAGGAAACCAAGAGCTCCTTGACTGCTAATCTTCTCACCTGGAGGAAAACCTGTCCTCACAGCACTGGGGGAAAGAGGCCGACAGCAGGTACGTGTGGGTCAGCCACACCAGTGGGGTGCATCTCGCTCTCAGCAGCAAGGCTCCATAAAAAGCTGCCCATCTCCCGATGGATAAGTTGGAGCCCAATTCATTCCCATCAAGAGCCCTGTATTCCTTCCCTTCCTGGAGCCCAGACCCTTCCCCCATGGACTGCAAGCTGATGGCTAAGTTTTCCCTATCCTGTTCACTGCTGTATTCCCACCAACAAGCATTAGCTACTGGCACACTGGAGGTACAAAAGGTGTTATATGAATCAACACATGGCGATCATGCCTGCGATGTCCACTGGGACTTGGTCAGCTGCAGGACTCCCCTGCCTACCCACCCCCTAAATGCTAAACAGCCCTGTTTGAAGCTGAAGAACTAAGTAAAATCAAGAGGCTGGGAGATTCACTTCTTAAAACTTATTTTAATATCCTCCCCATCCCACCCCCCAAGTTGGGAAAGTCCAAAACAGTCTGGCTGGGTTTAATTACAAATTAATACACATTTTTTTTTTGTCATTGTTTAAAGTAAATCAACTGTGGCAATAAGGGATTATCCTCGGAAAAAGTGAAACCCATATTAACAAAATGTCATGGAAGAACCCCGCTTAGTGATTTCACCGGCTACTTAAAAGTCTAGAAAAAGTCAGCATTCCGCACGTTCTCTGGGGCTAGTCCATGCAGTGGAAAGAGGCCTTGCCCAGACTCAAGCGAGCCCAGTCAGCTCCAACCAGGCCCTAGACCCAAGGGAAGCAAGGAGAGACAGCATATATCTTCTTCAGGGCGAGGGGAGAAAAGGCAGATCGACAGATAAAGTCCTATAGCTTCACTGTGGAGCGTGGGAAGGAGGCAGGAAGTTAGAGGGAAGGCTTAAAGAAATGGCATTCTTTCAACCTTAAAAACAAAGGTCTTGCAAGATCACTGCATGAGAAGAAGAAGACAAAAGAAGAGAACGTAAGGCTCTGAGTAAGTCTCGACTCCTCCGTCTCTTCACGTACGCGGACACCCATCCCCTCAGGGTTTGTAGGGTCGTGCTCAACCTCTGAGACCCTGGAGGGACTCTCTGCTTAACAGCTTGAAAGTAATGGTTAAAAGAAGGCACTACACACACACACACACAGACACAGATCACACGTACACCTCGTGCATAGACACTTGCGATGATAAAATGGAAAGCGGGGAGCACCGAGGGCTCCTGGGCTGACTCCCTTCCGTTCGGTTCCGCAGACTGTATCTACCCACAAACGTCTCTGCAGCTGGGGTTACCTCCTCTTCTTCCCCGAAGATCTCCTGGGACTGGGGACACTAGGGCAGAGCAGGTCCACAAAACCAACAAAGGTCCCAGCCAAAGTGTCACCAGTGCCATTTTTCACACGAGAAAGGCAGACTAGAGTGATCTGAGCACTCTCTCCCCTTCCTGACTGCCCCGCCCTGCCCTGGGCTCTCGCATGCCTGAATGCTGCATCTTTAAATATTCCTGGCTGAGCCCTCTTGCCACATATGTCAGAAACATTCCAAGCTGGCTACCACATGCTCAGGCTCTGGCCTCCTCCCCTCTCTACTGTCAAGTGCTCTGCTGTTTCAAGGGCACGGTGGGGCCACCCATCTCCCGTTTCAGCTCCATCTTCAGCTGATCACACATCTCAGAAACAACCAAACGTAAAAACAAAAGCCAGGAGTTCCAAAAGAATGTTCATATTCAAAATACCTATCTCCCTGCAATTATTTTTAACTCCACTTGATCAATCTGTTAAGGTGAGTTAGACAAAGCATGTGTGCACATGCGCACACAGACACACACATCAGCACACACCCACAAAATTTAGAGGGTTGGGAGGTTGTTTCCTGCCAAAAGATCTAACAGAGGAAAGCTTATGAGCTGATCAAGTTTTAATATCGGGGTTAACAGGAAAGGTACACCATTTAAGCAAGCACACAGAGACGGCAGGTAGCCCTCCTGGGTCGGACCTCCTGATCCCTGGAGCACTTGGCTCCCTGGCCCATTTTCTGCCTACCTCTGGAACAGTTTTTTGATAGTTACTACATTCAGAGAATCCAAAAGAGGACTGCATGGACAGATGAACCTTTATTTAAAAAAATAGCACTTCAAATAAATTAAAAGGGACAACCGTCAAGTGTTCAAATTGTGAAGAAATAGTTGAAAACCTAGAGACTCCCAAGCTGTGGGCTTCCAACCTCGTTCTTTGTCCAGTGGCAAAGCCCCACACATCTCAGTCCTGCCATTCGACGTTTTCCCTACTGAGATGAGAGAAGCAGTTGCAAACGGGACCAGACGGAGGAGAAAGCTGCATCTGACTGGAATGAACAGTGCCACGTACTTGCTAATACGGGTTTCACTTTATGACCGAATGTATTCTTTCAAAAATAAAAAAGGGGGGAGGGAGGCTGCATGTTTTTAAAAATTGAAATTATTTAGGGATAAAACACTAACTCTAGTGCCTTTAACGGGCAATAGCAACTTTTTTCCTCCGAAGTCAAACACCATCCCCAGCTGAGCCTTTGTGCTACAAGCTTTTCAGGAGATGTTACCTAAACTTTATTAAAAGAAAAGAACAAGTTTAAATATAGACACTGGACTAGCCCAGTCTGTATTTTCAAGTCCACATTCTTCATCTGAAGCACTGCATCAGGGACCCCCCTGAGTCTGCATGTTTTCAAGTTCACAGTACATGGAACCAGTTTTTCTTTTTCATTTTTTCCTCACTCAGAGCAGCCACACGTAGTGGCCGTTGACGCCGGAACCTCGGGCGGGGCCTTTTCCTACGAGGCCTGGCCAGAGCTGCCCAAGGCTTCTCCTCAATGAGAATCGATGCTGTCATGCTCTATGGATGGGAAAAAAGCAAGAAAATAAAAGCACCTGGTACAGGTTTCATGAGATCCATTCGGATTCGCTATGTTCCAAACCCGCTGCTGAATGCCATTTGTCCACTCTGTGTGTGTTGAACAGTTTGCGGCCTAGGAGTGGGTCTCAATTCGAAGAACTGTTATTGGACGCCCCCGAGGTCGATGCAATAGCAGCTCCAGCAGGGCTACTCGTGGAGACCGATTTTCGGATGTGAGGCAGCAAGTAGGGGTCACAGGCCAGCTGCTGGACATCGATGCGGTCCTCCTTTCGGTAGGCCAAGCATCGTCGAATAAACGCCTGAAAGGAAAGTTTCTTGAAGAAGCCTGAGGCAGATAATCCTGTCGCTCCCAGAGGGAACCCTGAGGCTCTGCAGCAGCTGGCAGGGCCCAGGCCCAGAGCGAACGCCCTCCAAGGAGAAGGGGCTCGGGGCCTTTCCTGGAAATCACGGGGCTCGCCCGCAGAGAACCAGGCAAGGAGACACACGGGCAGCAGCACCTCTGTGGCCACAGGCTCCTTCCCCAAAGAAGGCGGCCGAGCCATTCCTTCCTGAGTGGGAACAGAGCTTGACCTGGTCTCTAGACACCTCTGCCCCCAAGGCACAAAGACCAACACAAAAATCACTCTCTCTGCCTTGGCCGGTTTACACAGGCACATCTAACCTGACGGTCCTGTGTGTACAAACCAGGGTCTCGTATCAACTCGCCACGTCCTGAGGAAGTGAAAACTGTAATGACAAACCACTGCCATGGGCAGGGTGAGGAGACACTAACACTCCAATGTGTCACAGATTGGTAAATGCTTCCCCTGTGTATCTCAATCTTCCCTAAAACACGATCAAGCAAATGATGAGGGACACACCTTAAGCAGTAAAGGAAAACGTGCACAGGACTTGTGTCCCCAAGAGTCCCGCAGACAGAGAATTATACTCTGAGTGGGGTTTCATTCAGAATCCTAATTTAGTGGTGCTGGGTGGCTCGGTTGGGCATCTGACTCTTGATAAAGCTCAGGTCATGATCTTGTGGTTCGTGAGTTCAAGCCCCACGTCAGACTCCATGCTCTCTTTCTCCCTCTCTCTGCCCTTCCCCCGCTCATATGCACTTGCTCGCTCTCTCTCAGGATAAACTTAGAATCTAAAATGTCATTATCACTCAAAGATCACACTTTACATTCAGGCGATCATAATGTCCCACTGCAGGTCCATCGACTGTATCAAACGTCCCACCGTAGTGGGCGATGCTGGCAGTGGGGGAAGCAGTGCGTGTGTAGGGACAGAAGTACAGGGGAACGCTCCACTTCCTGCTCAACGATGCTATGAATCTAAAACTGATTTAAAAAATAAAGTCTAACAAAGTCTATTAAAAAAATCCAGGGATGCCTGGGTTGCTCAGTCGGTTAAGCGTCTGACTCTTGATCTCAGCTCAGGTCTTGATCTCAGGGTTGCTGAGTTCAAGCCCTGAGTTGGGCTTGGCACTGGGTGTGGAGCCTACTTAAAAAAAATACAACCTAAAACAGAAAATGTATTTTTTTCCATGTTTAATCAATAAAACACAGAAGTATTACAACAATCCTGGTTTTCCAAAATAAAAAATACCTGTAGGTAGCTGCCTGATTAAAGTATTTGGAAGATAAAAACACAGTCACAGAAATAAACTTAATAATCCTTGGCCTTTTTAAGAATGAAACCTTCTTAGTGAGATTTGTGACATGGTAACTTGAGTTAAATGGGTTACCTTGGGTTGGATACGATACTTAACTGGTCAAACAAAT